CTCGATTTGGAATAAACTATCAGCTTTCATAATATAGATTTTGAAGTTAGCTTATTCAAATGAGAATTATTTTTTACCTTTCAAAATCTACTACAAATTCAGTTCACTTGTCACAAATAATCCGTAGTTCGTATTGTCATGAGTGCCTTAGTAGAATTCTCCCGACCTTCATTTAAATGTCACTTTAACCCTTAATTCTACGTAAATATGAATGATATTAAATTGATTCAACAATACACGTGCTATGACAAGAGACAGACGCGACGGATATGAGGTCTTCCGCGGCGTTATCGGTCGGCACTTTTGTTAAATTAAAACGGATGAACGGTCTAAAGTGGAGCACTCCATAACTAACTGTTGGTGCGGAGACGTCTGCGAGCGATTACGGCAATCTAAGTTACGGGTTCCGTGAACGAATACGTCACGACATTAATAATATTTAACGTGAACAAAATATTTTAGTTTCTCTTATCAATCAAGAGACATAGTATACCTTGCTATAACGTAGTCTTTTATATTTTGGTTCGGGGTTTTATGAGCCCGCACTGGCCGGTTCCACCGCCCTGTCTCAAACAACAATCACGGGCTATACTGGATAGCTGTTAGCTCAACGCAGCTTACGTCTAATATCTCAGGATGATTAGTTGCGTTTACGTTCAGGTGTCTATGAGCTTCGGTATCCATTAAACCTCAGGCCGGCCGTCACGTCGTTTGTTCAAAAACGCTAATAAGAAAAACGCAAGCTTACTGGTGGTAGGACCACTTGTGAGTACGCGCGGATAGGTACCACCACCCTGCCTATTTCTGCCGTGAAGCAGTAATGCGTTTCGGTTTGAAGGGCGGGGCAGCCGTTGTAACTATAATTGAGACCTTAGAATTTATATCTCAAGATGGGTGGCGCATTTACGTTGTAAATGCCTATGGGCTCCAGTAACCGCTTAACACCAGATGGGCTGTGAGCTCGTCCACCCATCTAAGCAATAAAATAAAATAAAAAACGCAAATTAAGGCCCCAGCAAGCATTCTATGATTCTTAACATGTCTGACGTTCGTCCATTAAATTTCCACAATATTTACAAATAAATATAGAGTTTTGGTCATAGGTGTGAAAAGACAGTTTGTTGATAATTTATGATCTAATTGGTTTTTTAAATATTATTGACTCTACTTAACATCATGTTGACCGTGAATTTCGTAAATTCATTTATGCCAAGTGAGTAGAAAAAAATCATCTTTCCGCACTAACATTCCTTTTGATTAATTATTTTCCATTTTCCATGGAAACGCGAAGTAAAGTCGGCAGACGATAGAAAATAGGACGCGCCAGGCGTCGTGTGGGGTCGGACCCCCTCGCCTTGTTTCATTATGATTAAGGAACTTAACCCAAATACTTGAACAACAGCAAATTTAACGTACTAATTCTGTATTAAGAACACTGTGGTTTATATAGTCTTCCGAAAGCTACACTTATTCCTAATCCATTATTATAAATACTGTGATAAGCATCGTTCATTTAAAAATTACAAATCCAAAATATACAGTATTGAGCGAACTCAATTTAAAAACGACTACACGTTATTCAATTTTATTGTGAACGTAATTTATACATCATAGGCTAGCACCAATGTACCTATGTACATAAATTTCCATAATGCAATTCGTCTAGACCAGACAGTGCGCCTCGCGACGCATGAGTGAATATTTCTTTCAGATACCTAACGATATAAAACATGTTTTGTTTTGATTGTCACTTTTGTTTTGATTTCTTTAACGACTACGAGTATTATTATAAAGTTTTTGACGATTACTGTTTACTTTTATAATGCCAGTTAAAATAGAAAAGCTATATATAATAATGATATGATTTTTTTTAAACAGATAGATCCAGTAGGTAGGATTTAACTATCAAATTAGAAATCCAAACATTAATAGGTGAAGTGTCACTGTCTAAAAGTATTTATGTGGTTTTTAAGAAACCTTAGTTTGGCGGATATAAATAAAAATAATAACAATTTCGTTGATAGAATGACACTCCTGTAAAAACAAAGCTCTGTCATAGTGCGATATGGATAGGTATGTAACGTAATTCCTTTCATAAACCAAGCGGCAGGTCCTCGTGTCCATAATTTTATAACGGATTTCTGAAAACTTATAATTACATCATCGTTCTTTCTCGACCGTTTCAACATAGTTAAGGATCGTGACTCTCACGATGTAGTGGATAGATTGACTCTCTTCATCGATATCTGTTACCAGCCCGATAGAGAGCGGTACTTTATCATAAATTTTGATTAGGTACTTATTACTTGCCCTCTATTTCAGATTGATTATTACCTTCTTCTAATTTCTTTCTACTAACTCTTCTAACTAACTAACTAATTCTTCTATTCATATAAGTTAATGATAGTTAATAATGGTGTATGCCTATATATAAAACCATTGAAGATGAATTAAAAGGAGAGCTGTTTCTCTGTACCGATATCTATTCGAGTTCTGTGAAGCGTGCCGGTCGGAGCCGTCTAGAGGTGAACTCAGACGATGCAGTTTGCACTAACTTGTCTGCAACGAGCTCTGAGTACAAAGCGTGCGCCGCTTTACAAAATACGTCGTCGGTTTACCGACTTGGACGTTGGATTTCGTAATATTAAATATTTTTAACCTTAATTTTGACGATTAAAGTTGTTTTTCACTATAAAATACCAAGGATACTATAGCATAGCCTCCAAATAAAATAAAAATAACGTCGTCATGACTTTAATCCAATATCACGAATAATATCAGCATCAGATCAAGAATACTATTGGCAATTACAAGCGACATTTATCATTAAAAAATTATCATATTTTTTTTATTCTTATACCGAGCTTAGAACTTGAAACGAGCTAACATCTCACCTGCTATTCAGTGGTTAGCTGAAGCCCATAAACATCAGCAAGATAAACGCTACCACCCATCTTGTGACATGAGTTCTAAGACTCAGTTCTGTAGCACGAAGGCTGCCCTACAATTCAAACCGGGACGCGTTACTGTTTCGGTGCAGAAATAGGCTGAGTGTTGGTAACTACACGTACGGGCTCACAAGATGCCCTACCACCAGTGGAAGTGTTAATCCAGGTAAACTATTGAGCGTAATTTCATCTAAGCTCATTCAGCCACACGTGATTGAGTAACAAAAATCCTAACAAACAAAATTTCACATTAAAATATTAGTAGAGACGTAAAGTAATAGTTCAATAATCGGATCTCTTGTTACAAAAAAAAAAACGGCGATAGTAGAACGTCTGTGTTCTATTGTATAATTTTATTTGATCGTGCACTATGACGTTTAAATGTTAGTAATAGGTGTTTGTCTAGTCTAGACTGCGAGCTGGGAACAAACAGAGGAGGGACAACAGATCGTCTGGAGGTGAGACGAAGGCCTCTTTACCTTTTGTGAATAAATGCATTCTAGATATCGACTCGTCTGAATCGCAGACAAGGAGATTATAATAATAGGTTGATTTATAAAGTTATTCGAAAAGCTAAATAGCATTTGATTTTATTTTATTTGTTAGGTTGATTGCAAGGTCGAGATGTGATTTTCAAGAAAAACAAGTGTATTGTGTACCCATTAATCTTAACTAATAAAACATATTGTTTTATGTTATTTTATTGCACATTATTGTGAAATATAGACTTATGAAATACATACGGTCACGTACATACATAAAGTCGTATACACATATTCATGTGTATTGACCAATGGCGGATCCAGGGGGGGGTCATGGGTGTCATGACCACCCCCTGGGCTGGTTCCAGGACTTAGGTGGACCACTAATTGAATATAATGATTTTATTTATATATTTTGTTACCATACAGATTTTATGTAACTACATACCTTCAATATTTAATTAATTTAATATAATAACTTTGTATAATGGCAAACGCTTGAGAACAAACGCATCTAAATTTGACTATGTGACCCCCTCCTGGCGCCAAAGCTGGATCCGCCCTTGGTATTGACTAATAAATTTTATTATTGTTTTAAAAAATATGGTAGATAGACTCGTGGACCAAACGGTTTAAATATTTATACATAGTTGGTTTATTATGTCAGAACATTTCAGCCTAATCCACTTAAAAGGGCAGAAAAATTTAAGGGCACTATTTAAATTATATGTATATTATTATATTATAAATCATATAACAGTTAATAAAATAACTGTAGACAATATTAAATATTAAATGTACATTATTGTTACAGACTAAATCCTATATTAGCCATTTCGTATAAATAAGCCCATAATTTCTTGACTTATGACTTTATATACATATTTTAGATTTAATTTTATATTAATTTATAATAATTTGTCAACATCAAACGATGATCATAGCAGAGCTCGTCTAACTGCATTGCTGTACTTCATTTGTCAAATAGACCATGGTAAAAATTTTTATATAATTGGACATATTACTTCTTACTTCTAAAGCGAAACATTGCCGTTTCAAGAGTGTGACAGCCGCTTAACGATAGAGCATTCGACATCATGACGTGTCAGGGTAGATGGCGGTATTAGCGTTGTGATATTTATGGCCTTTGGTAACCGCTAAATAATAGAAAAAGTGTTTCTACCCGTCTAACGGATCAAAATAAATTACATAGCGAATACTGTAAATACATGAGCTGGCAATAATTGTCTGTTATCCTTCGTAGCAATATCCTTACCTATTTAGTAACTATATCCAATAACGTGAAGTTAAAGACAAGATAATCTGTCTGCAACAACAAGATGAAATTTACATAACCTGTCCGTAGTAAGTATTTCTTGAAAGAAACAGGATTGGTAAGGACATCTTTCTACAGAGATTTCCACGGGTGTGTACTTAGTACATTACTCAAATAGCTCCCATTGTTAACAATGTGACGGTTTAATTTAAACCACATAGACTCGACAGCCTTATTAACAGTGCATTGGACAAAAAACAAATTTAAAAAAAAACAAAAACCCAAACTACTTACAATAAATCGAAGCTAATCTGCGATGTAGACAACTTTGAATTAACGTCACTTGACCTGACCCCTTTGTGATTAGCTCTATACAGAAGGATGTAGTCAGTCTAGACGCCCTAAACGCGTTCTTTACGCCTACGCACGTCATTGTCGAGTAGTCGCACTCCTGAAACTACGTCGTGGCTCTATTCTATTATGTTTATTGATATTAAATAGGAAAGGTCGTCAATTATTTATCCCTTCTTCTATGATGCAATATCATGGTCACCATACATTTTTATTTTGTTTGTTTAATTTTACGTTATTTTGCACGGATGGTTCAGGAGTATTGTGAAGTCCTCTCACCTAGCGAAATGGGGGTTAAGTGGTTAATGGCATAGATGCAAACGATTTCATGGCCCACTTGATGTTGGACGCATAGTGTATCTCATAAAATAGTTTGAAGTCGTCGTGGCCTAAAGGATAAGACGTCCCGTACATAGGTACGTGTTGAGCGATGCACCGGTGTTCAAATCTCAAGCGGGTACCAATTTTTCTAATGAAATACGTACTCAACAAATGTTCACGATTGACTTCCACGGTGAAAGAATAACATCGTGTAATAAAGATCAAACCCGCAAAATTATAATTTGCGTAATTACTGGTGGTAGGACCTCTTGTGAGTCCGCGCGGATAGGTACCACCACCCTGCCTATTTCTGCCGTGAAGCAGTAATGCGTTGCGGTTTGAAGAGTGGGGCAGCCGTTGTAACTATACTTGAGACCTTTAGAACTTATATCTCAGGGTGGGTAGCGCATTTGCGTTGTGAATGACTATGGGCACCATTAACTATAATACTTAGCACCGGGAGGGCTGTGACATCGTCCATCCAACAGAGGAATAAAAAAAAATTTAGAATAAAGCCACTCATTCTGTGACATAAGGTTGAATTCCATTTACATTAGAGCAAAGGATGTCCTATAATAGAAAAGGTGCGGTACCTAAGACGTGAAAATGAGCAGAATGATGATTCTGAGCCATGATGTCTTATACGCATGGGGAAGTGGAGTTACGAGTGCTTATATCGTAGTTAACGGGTTGCTACTTTCTTAAATAGGTGGTCAAGCTTACAACAGTTCACCTAGTTCACCATTCGAATACCACCACCCTCTTAGTGACATGAGGTAGAAGTTTAGGAGGTAGATAACGCCTGTCCTACTTTTAAATCAAAAGCAAAACCTAAACATACAGGCTCCCAAAATTCATTGTCCAATTTAAAAACAAAATATAAGTTGATTATGCATTACTTTATAAGGCTATTTCAAAAAGGAGCCACTTTGCGGATTACATACATAAAGGCTACAATTAAAGGAATGACTGACGCTTTAATCCAGGAAACCATTTTGATGTTCCTGTCAAATTTGGTGGCGGTTATCGTGTATGGCAAGCTTTGAGTAGGAATCAAAACATCCAATGGGATTAAACCTTCACGTCTTTTACCGAAGACGATTAGAAATATAAAAAAAACCAAAGATAATAAAAATTCGAAGCGAAAAGGGAAATAGTTTTAAAAGTAATTGAAAAAAATATAATTTTGAAAGCTTCTTTGAAAAACATTTCGAGAAAGAGAATGGTTTTATGCTTTAAAGTTTGTAAGGAAGACTAGATCTAATGATTTGACTGTAAAGGCGATCTTTGAAGATTGTTATCATATACATTAAAAATATTATTTTATGGTGTATTTATTCACCATATGGTCGATATCCATGACCAAAATCCATGCCACTTAAAGCTTAAGAATAATTTTACGTTTTTCATTATTGTTTTGTTTAAAAAAAACACATTACCAACACTAATTATACCAAATTATATGGTAACCGGAAATGTGATAAACGATTTCGTACAATAAAAGTACAGAGTAATCAAATCGTATGTATTATAAATTGAAATCACGCAAGTAAATCAAATTAGGTTACAACGTAACGAAGAAGGAATTTAAATCAGGAATACGTCGGAGCCTATGTACTTACGTATAGTATAAGTTCAGTATAGGTTCGTCTAGACGCGGGGGCGTGCAAAAAGGTTAGGTAGGTAGACGCAGGCAGTCTCTTTTACGACCCTTCAGCTTCAGCGCGGATCTGCGAATTGGGTCACGCAGATATTTAACGGTCGGATACTTCTAGTTTAGGGGTTGCAAGATTAGCGGTTTCATGAAATGGTTCGATAAGCAATTTTGAGCTTGCCTTAAAGTATATTTTACATCTCATAAATTTATTAAATTAACGTTATATTTTACCATAAATAATTACATTGCACATCAATACGTATATGTAAATATTACACGAATTGAAAAAAAAAAACAATTCGCAATTTGATCCACTAGACGAACGTGATTTCCATATTCCACGAGAGTCTATGATAGTCTATACTATCTATATCTATACTAATATTATAAAGAGGAGAGATTTGTTTGTTTGTTTGTATTGAATAGGCTCCGAAACTACTAAACCGATTCAAAAAATTATTTCACTGTTTAGAAGCTACACTATTCCCGAGTGACATAGGCTATAATGTTTTTTTAAAAAATTAGAGATCCTTACTAAAACTCCAATAATGTAACCCAAGGTGTAAAAAAATTACCTAAAATATTCTTTACATCGCGTGCCCTGCGAAGACTATTGATGATAGAATAAAATAATGTACTACGACTTTGTAGAACACATTATTATTTACAAATAGTGTCGCCACAGCATATGTTTAACTATTATAGTTATGCCGCAATAAGTGTTCTTTTATTTAAAAAAATAAAACAACGTCAAATATTGTTGAAATTTTTCTTTAAGACCCGAGCGGAGCCGGAGCGGGCCGCTTGTGTCTAATAAAATACTATAGGATTTAAAAGCATTATAAAATTTAATATCTAGGCCGCATAACAAAATAATTAATGTGAAACAATACAAATTCTTAATACTGTACTTACAAAATTCTATTGCAAACAATGTCTAGACTTCGTTTAAGACGCTACGGCGTAACTAGTGTTTACATCAGTGTTTTGACGAGAGGTCAACGAGGTCACTTGCGTTGTACATTTAATTTAAAAATCGTTTGTGTATTAATATTTTATTTCGTAATTTTACGTCTAAGAAATTTAAAAGACAAGGTCTCTATGGACGGCGCGATTACTGGAGGCCATATACCACACAGGTACGAAGTGAATGTCGTCGTCAAAGTACAAGTCTGAAGTTTAATATTAGAAAAAATGGCGACTTATCCGAAGAAACTATAGAATGGAATTGTATCGACCAGTGCATGCTCACGGTACATTCTATATATTTTTTCCTACCTGTACGCTGGTAGCCTAAGCGGCTATGCCAGCTTCGCGCGGATGAGTAGGTGAGTTCACAGACTCAGCCTGAGAGAATTTTCTATTATAACATCAGCCCTAGCAAGAGCAGTGCTTTGCAAAATCCACCACCGGGTTGGAGTCAGAGATGTAATTAGCGGCGGCCACGATAAGAAGGTGTCGTGCCGCTTTGTCGAAGTAGCGTTCTGACGCTGCCTTATGATACTTATGTATCGGTCTTAAATTTAAATCGTCGTGAAGGTCGACATTCCTCACACATTCTACCGTTACTAAGTATTAAATTATACAAAAAATGCTGTAATTTTATTATCTTAGTAAAATACGAAGTAAATGTTAAAAAAATAAATCACAAAACTCATTTTCATAGACTTCAAATTCAATTAATGAAATAACTTTCACCGCCTATTTCGTAATAGTACAGCGCTGTGTAAATGTTAAAGTTACTTCAGAGTGCAGATCGTCTGCCCTTCCGTCGCCCTTCTAGTGCGTCTGTCTAGCCGGTGTCACGGTATCCTAGCCTTGCAAGGGCATACACGCACGTTCAAATCATTTTCAATTCAACTACACTTTTGTTTGCGAAACGTATGTAATGAAAATACTTTTATCCTTTATATAATAGTGATAGTATTCACAAAAACCTGTCTACTTACGCCGCGAATCAGTAATGCGTTCAAATTTGAAGATTTTTTTGTTTTTTGTTGAGTACGTATTTCATTAGAAAAATTGGTACCCGCCTGCGGGATTCGAACACCGGTGCATCGCTCAACACGAATGCACCGGACGTCTTATCCGTTAGGCCACGACGACTTCGAAGAGTTGGGAAAGCCTTAATAAGAAATGAAAATAAAAGCCAACTAGTTATAGGGAGTCTAAATTGTGCAGTCTCTTTCTGACTCATCGACGGCGTTCTCTGATTTCGGAGGCCGAGACACACTTCGGGTTCTTGAGTCCGGTCATGTAATGGAAAATTTATTTATTAAACTACCATATTGTTTTAAAATCTACGAGGTCTTATTTGGAATAATTATGAAAGGTTGTCCAAATATTACTATAGCATTTTATACATAATATATATATGTACATACATTGTGCACATAAAGTTGTATACAGAACTAAAACTAGTTTTACGGTTTAATATCGCATTTTTATTCTCACTATATTATTTCCGAATACCATACAATTATCGTAGTCACTGACGACTAACGGATATTATTATTCTATTCCACTATACGGATCGGACATCCTCTATACAATAAAATTGAAAATGACCTTTATGTTTCATGACGGCATACACATTGTGTTGTCTCTCACTCACTTATGCAATAAAAAAATGACAGTCCAATCGTTCGGATTGGAGCGCGGAGTGGCCTCCCGACAGAAATAGGCAGAATATTTTCACTGACTCTTGTCAGCTAAATTTTTTAATTAATTCTATAATATTTAACTTATTTTCAAGCAAATTTACTTTTTGAATTTACAATATTATGATTACTTAAGATTACTTCGAACGGGATAATTTAGTTTTCCACTACTGTTTGATCAATAGCTTCACTTAGCGACAAGTTAGAAAGCATATGTTGTGTATTTTCTGATTTTTTAAGTTCTGTTCTAAATCACTTAGAATCAACACAAGATTTCAATGGAAAACTCAGCCCCTGCCGCTCCAGCCATAGGAGGTCGTCGAGAACCATCGACAGATCCCGTGAAAGCTCAAGGAGTTTTGTCTGTACTACATTATTTGTTCCATTTTTCGATAAATTTACTTTTACAAATAATTTTGATTTTTGTTTCCCAGGAACGCATTGGCTCGCAAAACTAGAGACACAGCAAGGATATGGCGGGAAAGATGGGGTTTTTACTGTCGAATTGACAAAATCCAAGAAGAGGAAGCAGAGAAAATTGGTAATAAATCGATTTGCTGGTGGTATTGCATCTTTACTGGTGGTAGGTCGTCTTGTGAGCCCGCATGGGTGGGTGCAACCACCCTGCCTATTTCTGCCGTGAAGCAGTAATACGTTTCGATTTGAAGGATGAGGCAGCCGTTCTATTGAAAAAACTGAGACTTAGAACTCATGTCTCAAGGTGAGTACCGGCATTAACGTAGATCTCTATGGGCTCCGGTTAGGACTCAACACCAAGTGGACCGTGAGATCGTTCATTGATCGTAAAAATCATTTTGGAAGTGAAAATAAAAATAAAGTACTTGCATTGCTGATCCCATGAGCAAGAGCGCCCACTAAGCCCGATGCAAGTCTGCCTTCAAAGGAAATAAACAATTGGTGACCAATCCCGATTTTTCCAATGTTGAAAATTACTAATTCATAATAATTCGAGACTCAACTATGAGTAATATTGATAGGAGATACCAGGTCGGACATCTCGGATTCTCTTTTTTTTTTTTAAGAATGTATAACATCAAATAAACAAACAATATTTCTTGAATAGATTGAATAGATTGTTCAGGTACACCTAGCCAAGGTACACATGCCCTTGGATTGAATCTTTGAATCTTTTTAAAAAACCTATCTATCTAGTTTGTCTATTTGAGAACGATCCTTTGTACCCAATGTTAGTGAGAGAATAGGCATTTTTAAATGCATGCATCGCGACTTCTATTTTACATCGTCTATTCGATCGAAACGCATACTTTCAGCGGCCAAACAACAATGTCGGCCTGTCTTTGTCAATTTATAGGTATGACCAAGGACGAATACAGGGCAGCAGTCCGTTCTATGAGCAGCCAGCCAGAACCTAAGACATCTCCAGTCGATGTGGATCCATCTCCCAAGCCTCTTCCTCCAACATCGACTGGTAAAATTGTCCTTAATTTTATTAGTTGCTCACCGCACCTTTATATGTACTAGTGGTCCCGCAGTAGTCGAAATTCGACTATAATTAACTGAAATTGTAAGTCTGATATTGTAAGTTGTAAATGTGATTTTACCTTTTTTAAATACAACAGCTGATAATCGAAAAATCTTTAGATTACTACGTGAAACAAAAACTTTGTACCCCTTTTGACGAAAATTGCTCGGAGGGAGGAGTATGAAATTTCCCACGCTTATACAGAATATAGAGAAGGAGTGCAAAATGTTAATCCTTTTTTTAATTATGCATAATTACAATATATCAAAAAACAAAACATTACACATATTACCATGTCTTTGACACAACACATATACATATTTAAATACTTTTTCTTTATTGTCAAACTTTTGTTAGTCTGTAGTAAAATTGAGAATAGGTTAATATTGTTTATCTTTAATATTATTTGCCTATAGTGTAGTCTTGACGAAATCTGTGAATAAAGAAGCATAATAATAGTCTTTGAGAATAGAACCATAATAATGTTCAAACTTATAATTTCAATTAATTATAGTCGAATTTCGACTACCGGGGGACCGCTAGTTCAAATTATTTTACAATTTTTTTTGCCATTGCAGGTATGATTGGTCGTCGAGCTCAGTGTCCATTGGAGCGGTACGGTCCTCTGGTCAAAACTGGTCGACAATACTCTACGCGTCCACCAATGAAACCTGGACAAGTTTATGATCCTTACAAACAGACATTGGTGTTCTTAGGGTGATCTTAGAACCTTTATATTTATATATATTGGATCAAAAACAATATAAGATTTTGCTAAATCTATCGTTATTCTTAAACATTACGTCTATGGACTCCGATAACCATTTCGATAGGCCATGAGTTCGTCATTTCATTTAGAGAAATAAAAAAGATTCGACTTTTCCAAATTGAACAAAATGGTTTCAGGCACTCTATCATACAAATGAAAACCGTAATTTCCAGGAGTGTTGATGGCGATCCAATATCATACAAGCTGCCTCCGTCGCGGTGCGAGGTGACAGACGAAATGTGGTCACAGCCGCAACAGCTGACCGTTTCACCATTTCAATGGGAAAATATAGAAAAAACACTGAGTGATTCATAAAATAACTAGATCTTAAAATAATAAGCTTAATTCCGTAATCAATATAGTGTTATCTATACTAATATATAAATCTACAGTGGTTTTTACGGATGTTCCGTTATAACTACTGAACCGTGCATCTGATTGACTTGAAACTTAGTATACATGTAGAAAATTCATGTACTTAATGGATAGGCTAATATTTATATGAGTGTTGGACTCCCCACACCAGTTGCGGGGGCGTTAATGACGAGAATCTTTGTGGGAGTGAGAAATAATAATGTTAGTTTTAAATGCCCAGCGAAGCGAACGGGTATAGTTAGTATTATTATACATAAGAAACTGATTTTGGGGGGCGTTAATGACGAGAAACTTTGTGGGAGTGAGAAATAATAATGTTAGTTTTAAATGCCCAGCGAAGCGGACTGATACAGCTAGTATTATTATACATAAGAAACTGAATTTGGTTTTTTGTTTGTTATGTTACGTCTTAACTATTATTCAGGATCGATCATGAACTTTTGTAAAAACGTTGTCCCTAGAAAAGTAAATTGACGCACACATTCCTTGGCTGTGCCCCTGGCGTTGCTAACGTCCATGAGCGACGGTAACCACTTACCATCAGGTAGGCCGTATGCTCATCTGCCTACAAAGGCAATAATAAAACTTAAGAATTACTTTCAAATTAATATTTTAATATGTATGCAAACTGTTTCAATTTACACAAACGAACTAGCTGACCCGGCAGACTTCGTAATGCATCAAACGATAAATAAAAAACCTAAGCTTCTGTATAAAATAAACATAAAACAAACAAAAGTAATCCGTCCGACGGGGGACACATCAAAGGGAAAGGAAAATTGTTATTTTTACTTAATTCCGAGCATTTTCATATTGTTTCACCTTTTAAACCTCTGGACTTCCACAAACAATTCAAGACCAAAATTAGCCAAATCGGTTCAGTCGTTCTCGAATTTTAGCGAAACTAACGAACAGCAATACATTTTATATATATATAGATAAGCGAAGACTGGTTAATCAAATGTAGAATAATAATAATAAATAAGGAACTGCAGCAACACAAATTGCTGAAGGCGGGAAAAGAAAATTAACTAGTGATCTTAATGCGTATTATCTGAATTGACTGTTATTTTTTTCTTTCATCTGCTAATTAATAATTGATTGTTACCAATAGAATTGTTACGTAGTCTTTTTAATTCAATAAGAATTTCGGTAAACAAATAGAGAAATACTTGTGGGAGCACATTATGAGTCCGCACAGGGAGGTACAATTGTATTGTGCTTTTACTACCGCAAAGAAGTCATACGTTCCGAAGTGAAGGGCGAGACTGCCGTTATACAATTAAGCATTCGACCTCATTTTTTGGGGTCATTGGTGACGTTCACGCTGTGATATCTACGGAGTCCGTAGCCGTTTTAAATCAGATGGGCTGTAAACTCCTTCACCTATGTATATGCGCAGCCCAAAAAATACTTTTTTTTTTATTGCTTAGATGGGTGGACGAGCTCACAGCCCACCTGATGTTAAGTGGTTACTGGAGCCTATAGACATCTACAACGTAAATGCGCCACCCACCGTGAGATATAAGTTCTAAGGTCTCAGTATAGTTACAACGGCTGCCCCACCCTTCAAACCGAAACGCATTACTGCTTCACGGCAGAAATAGGCAAGGCGGTGGTACCTACCCGTCCGGACTCACAAGAGGTCCTACCACCAGTAATTACGCAAATTATAATTTTGCGGGCTTGATTTTTATTACACAATGTTATTCCTTCACCGTTGAAGTCAATCGTGAACATTTGTTAAGTACGAGTTTCATTAGAAAAATTGGTACCCGCCTGCGGCATTCGAACATCGGTGCATCGCTAGATACGAATGCACCGGACGTCTTATCCTTTAGGCCACGACGACTTCTAAAACTTTCATCCAGAAAACAAGACGTACTATTCTGAATTATTATTTTTACACTATAAAGAAGCGAGAACAGCGAAACGTTTGATGGTAGCCCCTTTATAAACCTACAAGCTTTTGCCCGCGACTCCGTCCGCGTGGAGTACTTACTTTGGCATAACGCTAAATTTTACCCCCCACTTCATTTACGTAGAAAGTGAAAATATTTTTGAGTTATAGAATGTTAAGGAAGCTATTTAAACCTCTATTTTGAAAAATTCTTTATTGGTGCTCCATTTGTATTGGTCTTACCGTGATTAGCACCCATTCATATATTAGCCCATTATTAGCTATATAGCTGTAGCCTATAGCCTCAATAAATGGGCTATCTAACACTGAAAGAATTTTTCAAATCGGACCAGTAGTTTCTGAGATTAGCGCGTTCAAACAAACAAACTCTTCCGCTTTATAATATTAGTATAGATAATACAATTTAGAAAACATTTCCTAAATATACAAATACTGAAATATGTTGATCAATAAGGCAATATAGGTAATTTTTATTTAAGTTTATTGTAAACATAAAAGTAAAAACGATTATTTAATTAACACTTCTTTTATTTCTTATCGCAACGGGAGGTAACATTGACATTATATTTTCTGGGAGTATCTCGACCGTAACAGCTTCACTCTTGCCGAGCCAATAAAAATCGGAGAGATACTGAAACAAAATACGCTTTTTAAAAATGATTATGATAACTATCTCAATCTTGGGTGATATATAAATAAATAAATTCTTTTTTTTTTTTAAGTTACACGTGCGTACTCGTTTTCGTTTATTTTCCGAACTTTCTATCCAAATTTCTTCCTAGTTCCTGTTTAGAATACAGTAATTAAAGCATGACATGACAGATAAGTTCCAGTATAGAATCGAGTGTTCCGGTTCAAACCAATGGCGGATCCAGGGGAGGGGGGGTCATGGGGGTCATGACCACCCCCTGAGCTGGTTCCAGGACTTAGGTGGACCACTAATTGAATATAATGATTTTATTTATATATTTTGTAACCTTACAGATTTTATGTAACTACATACCTTCAATATTTAATTAATTTAATATAATAACTTTGTATAATGGCAAACGTATGGGAATGAACGCATCTAAATTTGACTATGTGACCCCCTCCTGGCGCCAAAGCTGGATCCGCCCTTGGTTCAAACAAGTCAGAGCCGCCGTTGTGTGTGAAAATAAAACTTCCTTATTTTAGTCAAAGAATTCATTGTCTATAGATAGTGCGAGGTGGAACATTGAAAATGGTTTATAAACGGTTTATAAATAATACTTAAATAAAAAAAAAAACATTGTTCGTTTAGATATCTTCATTGAAATGAAGATATTAGTATAGAAGGAGTTAACATTTTAATTTTATTTTCATAGAGTAAAATCCCTCTTTTTATTGGATAAGTGGTTTTGTAAAGAAGTCAACAGGAAATTCAGATTTTTTTAAGCCCAGTTGCAAATAAAAAAATTCGAGCAATAACGACACGATTGCGTTAGACAGAGATAGAGACACTTGTCAGATTATTACGGACCTTACCCGGACTAAGATCATTAATCTATACACAGTTATGTAGGTACAGTTTTAGTAATTATATTATCAGTTTTAGCAAATAGATCAGATATGAATAAAGTTCATTTTATTTGATAAATACCTTCATGGGAAGAATATGATAACCTAGATTCATTTCGCCTGCGTCCGCCGATTTCTTCTTTTTGGTTGGCTCCATTTCAAACTGCACGGGCAAAGAGGTAAATTAAAACACTGCCTGTGTAATTTATGTAGAAAATTAATACGATCTAATATTTTTTTATTGCTCAGATGAGTGGACGAGCTCACGGCCCACCTGGTGTTATGTGGTTACCGGAGCCCATAGACATCAACAACGTAAACGCCACCACCCGCCTCGAGACATGAGTTGTAAGGCCTCAGTTTTTACAGTACAACGGCTGCCCCACGCTTCAAACCGAATCGCATTACTGCTTCATGGCAGAAATAGGCGGGGTGGTGATGCCTACACCTGTGGGTTCTCAAAATGCCCTACCACCACTCAATTTTTCTTTATATACCATTAGCAATAATGATGGATGAGTTTGTGCATATACATAATATAAATTTAAATGTAAAAGTGACAAGTTTTTTAAATCAAAGTTAAGCAAAGATAACCCAACTATTCAACCCTATAAATGGCATCACTTAATATCCACGGTTGTAAGCAAAAACTTGATTCTATTTTCATATACAATAGAATTATAACGAAGAAAAATTATTACAATGTGTTGTCAAGAAAAAAATCTATGAAAATTCTAAAAATTCAATTTTTTTTTCGTTTCCCTTGTAGGCAGACGAGCATACGGCCCACCTGATGGTGAGTGGTTACCGTCGCCCATGGACTTCAGCAATGCCAGGGGCAGAGCCAAGCCGCTGCCTAAAAGTATGTAATGCATGTGAAAGTATTCTCACCTGCGCTTTCCTGTCCAATACGAACAGATCTGTCAAGTGTTGGAACACGACGGACTGGCCGCTCGGGTGCGGGTGTACGGACAGCACGCACTGCTTCGTGTCGTACCACACGGGGGGCATGGCCGAGCCGGGCCAATCACTGAATTTTTTCTCGAACAATTCATATTCTACGACCTGTGGAAAGTAAAAAAAAAACACCTCGTATAGAACGCTCAATAAAGTGTACACCTTAGATGAGTGGACGAGCTCACAGCCCACCTGGTGTTAAGTGGTTACAGGAGCCCATAGACATCTACAACGTAAATGCGCCACACACCTTGAGATATAGTTCTAAGGATATTCTATAGATATAGATATAGTTCTATTTACGTTATAAATGGGCTCCGGTAACCACTTAATACTAGGCGGGCTGTGAGCTCGTCCACCCATCTATGCAATAAAAATAAAATCAAAAATCAAAAAAACATTCTAGTTTTTAACATACCTTCCTGTCAACGTATGCTACTATCAAAGTCTCCTTTTCGGCATCGACAACCATGGCCGATGGTACACAATGATATTTCGGCAATGTTATATAGTGTTCGAATTTCTTTCCAATTTGTGTCCATATTACTATATCACCTTGTGTGTCCGCTACCGCTAAATACACTTTATTGCTAGGACATTTCTTTGATATTTGAAAA